GCAGTATTTCTGAAAGGTCACCTGACCTTTTTGTCCAAACAAATAAAATACTAAGTCATTAATTTATTTGTCCAAACAAATAAAATAATGTCATTAATTTATTTGTCCAGATAAATAAAATACTAAGTCAACAGCATGTCACCCCTCCCTGTTGATCTACCAGGCCCTGCTGGGTCCGGGCCCTCCCCTCTCCACGCAGCCCTGGTCCTCCCACCACCCTGGGGCTTCTCTTTGTTGGGACACTCTTGCCCTGCAGCATTTCAGGTCCCAACTTAAATGAAGGTTTCAGTTTCCATGTCACTTGTTCAGATAGGCCTTTCATGTCACCCAGTCTAGAGTGGTTTTCCCGTCAGTCAATAGAGCATCGCTATGTTTTATTTTCATCATAACAGTTACTCAATGCTGCATTTTATCTGTTTATCTACCTAGTTATTTATGGTCCTTCCCCTTCTAAAATACTAGATTCCTAAAAGCAAGGACCGTGTCTGCTGTGTTTCTTCCTGCACCCCCAGTGCTTGGCACAAAGTGGGGACCCATCAAATGGCTGTCGCCTGAAAGCATTTAGTCGTTTGCACATGCACACCATGCCTTCACCTGTTCTGACCACGCTGAGTCTTTGCTCTCCTCTGTCGCAGCTGACTGACCATGGCGACTCCCGATGCTGCCTTCGAGGCCCTTATGAATGGAGTGACAAGCTGGGATGTCCCCAAAGGCCCCATCCCGTGTGAACTCCTTCTTATTGGAGAGGCCGCCTTCCCAGTGATGGTGAATGATAAGGGCCAGGTCCTCATAGCTGCGTCCTCCTATGGCCGAGGCCGCCTGGTGGTGCTGCCCCATGAAGGCTACCTGCTGGACGCCAGCTTGGCTCCATTTCTTCTCAACGCGGTGGCCTGGCTCGGTCCCTCACGTGAGGCTCCTGTTGGTGTACACCACTCCCTGGAGCGACTCGTAGGCACCCTGCAGGGCTTTAGGGTTGAGGCACAGATTCAGCCACAACCGGGAGACCCCCAGGGGGTTTACTGCATCAGCGCCCACTCAGACACCCTGACTGCAGAGCTGATCCAGTTTGTGAAACGTGGAGGAGGCTTGCTCATCGGGGGCCAGGCCTGGTTTTGGGCCAGTAAGCACGGTCGTGACAAGGTGCTGTCCAGGTTCCCCGGGAACCGGGTGACCAGTGTGGCCGGTGTATACTTCACCGACACCTATGGGGACAGAGGCCAGTTCAAGGTCTCTAAGAAGGTGCCTAAGATCCCGCTCCAGGTCAGGTGAGTCACGTGTCGCTATGGGGAGTCCTACCCAATGACCCTACTGAACCTAGGACTAACCTTGCAGTTTCTGTTTAGCACAGTTTCTCCATTTATTCCCTAAATGCCAGTGATCATATCGATAAATACCCCACCTGCGTACTTGTCTTTCTAAGCAGAAGGTAAAGCTCCATGAACGCAGTGATCTTGCCTGTCACGTATGCTACCTTCTTCTCGGTGTCTGGTGTGTGCAAGAGAGCAACCGATACTTGTAGATTATAGGAATTAATGAATAAATAGATGAATGACTACTCATCCAAAGCCATAGCAAGAGAAAAGGGGTTAAAGAAACATACTAGTGTTAACACTACAGACAGCTTCCTGTTATGGAATATACTGCCGGGGTTGCTGAGTCTCAGAAGCTTCTAGCCGAAAAGCCAAAGTCAGATGGGGAGTGGCGCTGACACCGAGCATCGACTACACAGACCTTGTCACTTGAGCAAGGTAGAAAGGGCAGCAAAGGGACAAACACNGCTGTGGAGGGCAGTGTCACTGGCCCTCATATGTGGGATCCGAACCGGGGCCCTCTGGCATCCCAAGCGAGTTCTTAACCATCGCGCCACTCAGCAGGCCGGCCAATAACTGCTGCTTTTAAATAATGCTTATGAAGAGACAGTCATGAACCTTATTTTTTTTTAAATAGGCACATCTGATAACTTCATAAACAGTGAGATGATTTATATGTATAATCAGTGGTAGCCCCAAAGGGGAGGGCTTTAGAAAAAAAGGAATCTAAAGCCCCAGTCTCCATAATTACCCTCAAAGTCATTACACTCATCTCCCTACCTTTACCTGTATATCCTCTCTCTCCCCTAAAAACAAAACAAAACAACACTCCATCAGAGTGAAAATGGTGTAACTGCTGTGCAAAATCAGATTTGCAACACATCTCCTAGTACTCTTCCACCTTGATTTTCACCTTCCCACCTCTCTTCGGTAGAAATTTTCAAGCAGCAGCTGGTCTATATCCGTAGCTGTAGTTTCTGAGGCCATGCATGAATGTGTTTGTAACAGGCACGTTTCCTTCCCTGCAGCAGTATCACTGGGCATGGTTTCTATCACCAAGAACCAGTTCTCTTGGTTGAGTTCCCTGGATTGGGACAAATGTCCCCCCTCGCGGGATGCATGGCGGGTGCTGACCGCCAGAGGGCAGGCCCTCAACGTAGGCTCTCAGGGTGGCACCGCAGCCGCGGCTCTCTGACACCGCACCCCAGGCCTGGAGGGGAGCGTGCCCAATTCCAAGCAGAGCCAAAGCAGACCCTCGGCCTTGGGTTACATTGTTTCTGGGGGACTGTTTGCCCCGAATCTGGTTTATTGGAGACTTGGGGTTTGCTTTCCTCACCCTGTGTGACAGCAACTTTTCAGAGCTCCCTCTAACCCGAGGGCCCCTTGGAGGGTCTGCGAGAGCCGGTTTCGGCTTGGATTCCTGCCGAATCGAGGGACCACGCTGAGGGGTGGGGGCAGGGGCCGCAGGGATGGAGAACCGGGCGGGCCATGCACCCCGCAGGCGCCCTGAGAGCCCGCAGCACCGCCCATGGTGCGGCCTACCTGGGAGGGACCGCAGGTAGGTGGCACTGAGACACAAGGCCCTCCCCTCCACTCCCCTCATCCCGCCCCTGGGACCCGGACCGCCCACCCGCCACGCCCTTGCCTAAGACCCCTTCTCCGGAGCCCGGAGCCCGGAGCCAGGAGCCAGGAGCCAGGAGCCAGCGCTGCGGTCCCCGACAACCTGAGCGTGAGTTTTCAATCCGAGCGTGTGGTGGGTGGGCCTAGCACCTTGCAAATTGTGCACCCCGAGGTGCCAGACGTGTGCCCGAGAACGTTCCCTCAATCGGGGTGTCTCTCTTTTCTTACGGCCAGGTTTTTGTTTCGTTTTGTTTCACCAGTCAGGCGCTATCTACTATTTGTCTCAAAACACTTTTCTCTCGCCTCTTGGAACTTGTGAGTCAAGAATATGACAGATGCGTGAGTGCGCACATGCGCACTGAGGTAGAGAGAGTTGGGGTCGGCGTCCCCAGGACATTACTCATCTCCTGGGTTTTGTGTTTGTTTTTCCTGTAAAACTAGGGAGGCCCAGATTAGTGAAAGACTTCACTTGTCCTCTCAGAGGTAGTTAGCTGGATCTTGACCTCAGGCTGCCTGACGGCTCCCCTGTCACTCCCACTCCAGAACCCAAAGCTGAGTTCTGCTTTGCATCCACACACTCCCGGCTCCAGCTGGGAATGGGCTCTCGTTGGTGAATTCACTGACCTGGGAGTAATACTGAGAACGGGTTGGTAGATGGGAAGGGAAGTTACAAAAAAAAAAAAAAAAAAAAAAAAAAAAAATTTTTTTTTTTAAAGCTGAAATTTAGAATTTTACAGGAAATACAGATCATGCTCAGGGATGCCAAGGCAACTCGAGATTTTTTTTTTTTTTTTTTTAGCTGAGCCCTCCAGGCAGCTTAGTGGCAGCTCAGCTCCGGGATGGGCATTGATCCGCTGTCGCTCAGAGCTCACACTCTTGAGCGAGCTCTTAACCAACTGAGCCACTCGGCCAGCCCCCCAACTGGTGATTTTGTGGTGAAGGTAGCCGGGGAAAAGTCTAGAAAAGTCTAGAAATGGAGAGCCCAGATCCTGGAGGCCTTAAAATCCAAAGCGAGGCACTCAGCTTGTGCCTTATGGGCAGTGGATGAAACGGGAGGCGAGGGGGGGGGGCTCTTATTAGGGAGAGATGTGAGTAGGATCGCTTGAGGAAGATGCAGAAGGGGCCACACCCTGGGAACTAAAACCAGATGGGTCTTGTCTAGATATGTGCACTGAAGGGGCTGGCGTTTGGAGACCCAGTGAAGGGGGAGGAATACATGAGCTGGCTGACTGCATCTGGAAACAGAGAGAGGGTGGAAGGCCGCAAATGCAGCCTTGGGCTTTGCTCTCTGTCTTAGATTCTTCCCCAAAGCAAAACCTGGTAGAAGGACCTGAGTGCAGGTAGTTTATTTAGGAAGTAAGTGTGGAATGCCAGAGTGAGGAAGTGGGGAGGCGAGGAGATAAGGAAGGAGGGAAACGCAGTGAAGGGAGCCCACCTTGCTGAGCTCTTCCCCTTGTGGGCTGCTGGAGCTCCGTTCCTCCCGGGACCTTCTGAGACTCCAGAAAGCACTTCAGGCAGCCACCAAAGTCAGATGGGGAGTGGCGCTGACACCGAGCATCGACTACACAGACCTTGTCACTTGAGCAAGGTAGAAAGGGCAGCAAAGGGACAAACACNAACATGGGCCAGTGAAGCGACGTCCTCCACAACTAGACTGAAGAACAAAAGGACAGCAACTTGTCTGTTCCCCTTCCCCGATTCCCCAACACTGTTCCCATTGTTCCCATCCCTCAATTCCCCAATAAAAAATAAAAATAAAAAAAGAACTAAGAAGCAGAGGTATTTGGTATAGTCAGGAAGAAGCTTTGGTAGAGTCGGGAGCTTAGGAAAGTCTCTTCTAGGGAAGAGGTGACTGGGCTAAGATAAGAAAACAAAGTCATTATCTAAGAGACGGAAACTTCACTTTAGGAGGAGTGAGTGTTGTACATTGAGGAAACTTAAAGGAAAACCATGGGGCTGGAGTACTGGGAGAAAAGAAGAAACACGGTGTTAAATAAGGCTGGAGAACTAAGCAGGGGTCAGACCATGGGGAGGGTGTACATCTAGGTCAACAGTGTAAGACAGGTAGGCAGTCATGACATGGTTCTATGCAGGGAGCTGTCATGACCCAACTTGAACTTTAGAGGGAACACTAACTGCAGTGTCAAGAGTAGATCAGAAATGGTATGGGAAGGGGGTGAAAGGAGTTCAGTTAGGGGGCCATGGCAGTAGGAGAGAAACCTGTGGTTTGACCTAGGGCAAGGGTGTGGAGATGGAGACGGTGGACAAGAGGTTTTCAAGAGGTACGCAGTAGGAATTGGTGACAGTTCAGTGGTCAGAAGGACTGACTGAGGAATGACAGCACAGGCCTTGGGGGTTTGAGCCTAGGATTTCCCATGAGTGTGGACTGACTATGCTAGAGCCTTCAATGTGCTGCTTCTTAGTATTGTGTCAGCTAGGTTCAAATCTTGGTCATTTTAACTAGCAATATTATTAACTTCTCCTCAATGTCACAAACAGGTAACCATAAAAAAACTTTCAAAGGTCTTATGACTCTCCAGTAGCCTAAATTGTATGTGAACATGTATTCACAAAAACATTTATATTTTTCTTTGTTCTTAATAATACACATTAAGAACAGAAGATGCAAAGAAAAAGCGCTCCTCTCCATTCTCCAAAAAACCTGGAATCACTTATCAGAGGTAACCATGGTTATCAAATTCTGAAATCCTTCAAGACATTGTCTATGCACTCACACACACACACACACACACACACACACACACGGTATATCTGTATAAAATCTTTTTTTATATTAACAAAATATTACGCACACTAACCAACACATTTTAAACATCAAACTTTCGAGCATTTCCATATTAGGGCTCACAAATCTCCCTCATTTCTTTTAACAGTTGGACAGTTCCACTGTAGAAAGCATCTTAAATTCAAACTATCAATAAGTTAGTGGTTAAATATTGATTAGGTAATTTGGAGTTGTCTTTCTCTTAAATAATAAAAATGTATTTTCTCACAGTCTGGAGGCTAGAAATCCAAGGTCAAGGTGCCAGTAGGGTTTGCTTTTCCCTGAGACCTCTCTCCTTAGCTGGCTGACAGTCACCGTCTTGCTCTGTCCTCACATGGTTTTTCCTCTCTCTGCAAGGTTCCCCAGTGTCTCTTCATTTTCTTATAGGAACCCCAGTCATATTGGGTTTAGGACCTACCTCATCAGCCTCACTTTAATTGAATCACCTCTTTAAATACCTTCTCTCCAAATAAAATTACATTCTGAGGTACTGAGGGTTGGGACATCAACATATCAATTTGAGGGTGGTGGGGACACAATTCGGCCCATA